GTAGAACACCCACACCCGCACTCTCCTTTCCTTTAAGAAACGGTGAGAAAATCTTGAGATGAGCCCTACATGTTTATTAAAAATCAAGATTTATAATTAAAAAATATAAAAGCATAAATGAGTGATGATAAAAATTATATTAAAATATGAAAATATATTGAAAAAAAATGAACTAGTTTCTTTGTAATAATCAATAATAAATGTAATAGCAGCAGATATTCGAAATGGCTTGGTTAACAATTTGCAATGACACTTTCTATTTAAAAACGTATCTTCTCAGCCAACAAAGTCGCAACCACAACAGGGTGGCTGATCTGGTTTCAAGACAGGAGGACAGCAAGAAAGGCAGCAGTCATAATCGGTATTACAGTGCAAACAGGTCGTATTACAGTTTGCAATGCTGCTTCTCGGAATGCATTGACCATCCGAACATTTGCAACCGCAGGCTATACTTCCTCCATCGACAATAGCAATATTAATTGTTATAACAAGTAATATCATAAATATTAACCAATAATGAAAACGATCCATTTTAGTAATATTCAATAATATTCTTCTTGAATTAAAAATTGTATGATTATTGAAGTATTTATGAGGATATATATATATAACATACCATTCAGAAAAACAAACGCATGACTTGCAAACAATTGTGACGTCAATTTATATTATGTATTCATGAAGGTGATATACGTAACTATAGATGCGTCATTTTTTTCTCCTTTTCACTTTTTTCTCTTATTTGTCATGTAACATCCATCTATATCAGGTGTGCTAAAATATTTGCAACATTTTTTATTTCGCACATATCTCGGCTGAAACAAATGATAGAGGGGGTGTAGGGTGTGGATGAGTGTGACTGTGGGTGTAGAGAAGAGAATACCGTCACATCTACCCTCCATCCACACATTCATCAACGACACTGTCAAAAATATATAATATATCTTTGAATACAAAGGAATCAGATCAATTTTTGAATAGTGATAAACTATCATAGAATAGTATGAATATTGAACAACATAATAGTAAAAGTTCATTTCAAAATGGTAGAAATAGAATTTTTTATTTTTGTTTAAAAAAGAAAATTTTATTATTTAGAAACAACAATGAATATTTGTGAATATGATTCATTTGTAACAAATAAAAATTATTGTGTTTATTTATCAAATTTTGAAGTACCAAATATAATATTTGCAGCAACATTACTTATAATAAAAATGAACAAAATAAACGTGAACAACTTTCGAAACTTCAAGCGAATTCTTATAAATCAAAGTAAAGAAAAATAGTTTAGATAAACAAAAGGAAATTTATTCTTTTGTTCTTACGTAACTTAATTGTTGGACAATTTTATGCTGCACTTTTTAATGGAGATTGGTATCGAGTGCGTATATTAGAAATTGATGGAAATCGTGTTCAGGTTGAATACGTTGATTGGTAAAATTTACTTTTTGTTTTTCTTTATTTCGCATATGTAATTTTAAATTAGGGAAAATACTAGATGGTGGGATTCAATTCTTGAAATTCGACCATTACTGAATGAGTAAGTATTCGGAAGTTTAGTTAAATTACGAATTGATCTTCAGCTTTCGCTTGAAATTAAACCCTATGATGCTTCACTAGTACACACTTTTCTCATTTAGATATTACAAAGATCCTGTTTTATGCATAAAATGTGTTTTGGATGGTGTACCAACTCAGGAAGAACCATCTGATGAGCAAGCAAATGCTATTCTTGAACTACTGGCTAAATTAGTTTAATAGAAAAATTGAACTGAAAATTTATTTGATATTTTAGTTTTTGCTGTAAAACTTGAAATGACTGTATTACATATTGAAAATAATCTTCCATATGTAGAACTTAATTTATGTGAACCAAATTTAAATACTGAAATACGTGCAATAGTATCACAATCATCATCATTAACTACAACAATAGTACTAAAATCAAATTAACCCATTTTCTGAAAATCGTTAAAAAATCGACGATTTTATCGCGACTTATTAGGGCGATTAATCGTGAGAGCTTATCGCGATATCATCGTTCAAACTGTCGATTTTGGCCGATATTTTTTCCGATCTTTTAGAAAAATCGCGATTAATTTACGCTTGCATAATCAATTTAAGCTTCCCCCGAAAAAAGGTGAAAAAAAGTTTTTTTTCAAGACTTTTGATGCCTGTAGAACGAGTCTCTTCGTTATTTGTTTACGTTCTCTGATAACAACTGAGTCCATTGGTATACCCTCACACTTACTGAGCGCGTTCCAACTTGCTTTTTATTACCGTAGAGCAGATTCGATGAGATGAACTTGCATTTTCGAAGCACGGAAGATACAATTATACCATACTTACGTATATCTGACATTGTTGAATTTTCTACGTGTATTCAACAAAACTTTGTTATAATCACGAAAATTTTACTACGCGTAAAAGCTAGGAATGTCATTTTCCTGTTACTTTAAAATAAATAGAAATAAATTTTTTTGATAAGTTGCATTTAAAAATAAATTTGAATGATAACCATTTATATGTAAAAATAAAAATTATTTCTAACTAAATT